TGACACTGCCACGTACTTTGCCGGAAAGATGAAAGGGGAAATACATTGTATCATTGAGATTCCTTTGAGACTTTCTAGGGTCTTTTGATTTGAAGGAATCATACATACAAATGTTATTTTATCTTATTTTGAATAATTTTAAAAGGCCAAAATAAAAAAATAAGAGCACGAACTTTCACTAAATTTAGGATTGTTTCTATTAGTTGGAAATAAGGATAATTTGGAGAAAATTAACACTTAACATCATGTAAACTGCATTCAAAACTTTATTTGACGTTAAGTGAGATTGATGGAAGTTCACGTTGTTACTAACAAGTTTTGCCAATTATATAAGAGCAGAAAATTGCCTTTTGCTTATTTTAGGAGAAGAAGAGGAAGAAACTGGTAAGTCATTGTATACCATTACAAATTTGTCTTTGAAGGATAAGTTAACATTTCATAGAGATAATACAGGTATAATCATACGGTTTCATGTTCTACTTGCTTTCTTTTTATCTTATTATTATTTTTTCCTTTACATGATCATCTTGCTGGATTCATATAATCAAGTACTTGAGACGGGGATACTGCAGATTTAGTCTTAACCCCCTAACTAGCCTGTAATTGGCCCCTACCTAAAAATATAAGGTTATTAGCTCCACAATAACATGATTTGGGGAGGATGGATTTGAGGCATACTTCTCACTTGGGCGTTAATTAGATGTAACACTCATCCCACTCAGCAACACATTAGCGTCTTCTCTCCTACTTTGCATGCTACAGTGGCAACAAGCGAAAAATTCCCATTATCATTGTGGCACACCAGGCACGCTAGGGAGAAGAAAACGTTGATGTGTTACTGAGTGGCATGGGTATGACGTCTGACTAACTCCCAAGTGAGAAGTAATTCTCAAATCCATTAGCATGAGCATTAATTTCCCTAAATCGTGATGTTGATGAGCTAATAACATTAAATTTTTAGGTGAGGGTCAATTACCTTAAAATTTATAAGTTTAGGGGTTCAATAGGGGTTAAGGCCTTTATGAGATGATTAAAGTTTGGCCTCTAGTTTTTTTGGTAAAATGCCCAAATCCAACCCCAAAGTTAGGCAATAGGGACAAATTCATACATGAACAAAAAAACGAAGACAAATCCATGTACAAAATTTTTCAATTTGAACAAATTATTTCAAATTTAAGGTGTAATATCAAATAATGTTAGTAATTTGTTAACTTATTGCACTACTGATAAATTCATTGTTAATGAATTATTGACATTATTTGACGTCGCACATTAAATCTGAGGTGATTTATTTAAATAAAAAAAATTTTAAGAAATTTTCTTTATATTTTGTTTAAAGGTGGATTTCTTAACTTTGAAATGGATTTTGGTATATTCCCAGTTTTATTCTTGTTTGAACACAGGAGATTGATATATTGTGTTGACTTCAATAAGACTAAACGCTCAACTGAATAGGAAACTGAACTTTTTGGCTGCATACCAGGCTCCGAAATTGTAAATGAGCCGAGTCAAGCCTAAGCATCCCTAAATTTAAGCTCTGTACACTTGGCTTAGCTGGTCATCAGGAATCCCGGAAAGGAATTCGTGAGCCCATCAAAATTTGATATGGGTAGGAAATTAAATTTTTTGACACATTAATTTGGGTACAGTGTAATTTGTTATGGAAGAAGAAATAATACATAATATTATCACTTTTTTGAAAATGTTTTTAAAAGGATTTTTTTAAAGAAAATGAATATAATCAATTATATTAATATAATTACCTTATTCTCCAAGGTAATCAATTAGTGTGTTGATTTGTGTATAAAAAAAAAATTTAATTTCTTAAGCCAAGCTATATAAAATTCTGATCGCGTCCCTAAATTTTTTTAAGAGATTCATATTAACCAAATAGGCCTTGGTTTTTAGCATGGTTCAATAATTCAAGGGAGTTCAGAGAATAATGGGTTGAATGGAAGGCTTCGTGAGGCTTGATCGCGACTTGTGAGTTGCTCAAGTAGTTCCAAGCCTGAACCATTTTTCTTATTTGTTTTATCGAAGCATGGACTTTTCTTACTGGCCCCAATGAGCTGGAATTTTAACTTCAAATTTTCTCATCGAAGTTCACAAAAGTTTCGTTCGGAAAATTGAAAATTTTGTAACTTCATGGAGAAGTTATGTCAAATGTCAAATTTTCTATATTTTGGAGAAAAGTCAACATCACATTTTCTCCAGGAAAATTAATTATGTGCGTAGAATTTTCTCCCCCCGTGTCTGGTGTAAAAAGAATATTTCGGGAAGTCATTCGTTTTTTAGCCATGGTTTGCGTTTGGAATATATATATATATATTTGGGATAAAAAGGCATTTAAGTACTTAAATTTAGGATATAATTGAGTGTACCACCTAAATGTTTATATAATTAATTATTTTAATAATATAATTAATAACTTTAAGATCTGTGTCAGAAAAGTGTAAGTGAAAAATAGACTTCTTGATATATTCTTTTTGGGTTTTTGGGCAACTAAACACCCCCGAAGAGTACAGTTTAATTGCATTGTGAATGAGGGGCAAAAATAGGCCATGTTTGGTAATTGGCGCGTAAGGTTCTCGGGTATCCATAGTCATGGCTTTTGTCCGGGAAAGTTATTTTGTGGAAATAAGCCGTGTTTGGTCTGTAAGGTTCTAGAAAAAGATATATTAGGAGCCATGGTTTGTTCTAAAAAATTTATTTTATGGGCATAAATTTCTATACAAAAAGTAATTGATTATAATTGATTATATTATTACAATAATTAATTAAGATTGTGGAAAATCAATATATATTGATAATTAAAACGTTAAAAATAATAATAATAAGATTAAAATACCTTTGATGTTCAACACGTAAAAATTATTTATTAAAAATATTTCAATAATTTTACAAAAAATCATGTTATTTAGGACTAATTTGAAATAACGATTTGGAGTTAACAGTTAATAGTTTTGTTTACAATAACAAGAATAAGTATTTGATAAACTTATTTATTTTGAAACCGTTATAAACTAAGTATTTAGTAAAACTTTTTATTTAACTGCTAGAGTTCAAATCATTAGTAGATTGAAAAAACTATTTAAGGTAGTTTTTTATAGTAAATTGTTAACGGATTGAAATTTTTTAATTTTATTGACAAATTTATCATTTTTAATTTTTTAACTTTTGGCCATAGTTTTTAATTAGTATTTATCTAATTAATTTCAACTTTATTTTTTGTTTTTAATAATATTAAGTAATTATTATATTTTTATTTTTATATTAATTTATCATAAAAAATATATTATTTTAATAAACAAAATGTGCTAATTAGATGAAAAGATTAAAATTTTTTTATATTTTATTTAAAGCTAATATAAATTTTCTTATTAAAAATAAAAATTAGTGTATGATTATACTATTATAATTTATTTATTATTTTTATAGAATCAATAATTTTTAATAATAAAAAATATAAAAAATACACTTAATTGTTTTTAATCGTATCCTTATCAATCATTTAATTTTAAGCAACAACTACTAATTATTATATAACCAAATAATTATATTAATCAAATTTATTATTTATTATCCATTACCAATTTTTCACTATCCATAACCCATTACTTACTATTGATACTTGTTATTTATTACTTACTACCTATTGTTTGTTAAATTTTAATTGTTATATCAAACATGCCCTTGCCCTTAAAGTGATAAAACATCCTTATTTTCATTTTCTCTAATCAATTATTTTGGTTCAAAATTAAAATAAATGACTACCTTTTAACTTTAGTTGATTATTGTGCCCGTAAAGAAATCTACCCATATTTTTTATTGGAAAATGCTTTTGGGGTAATTATAGCTAATTACATTATTTATAAACACTTATATTTCTTCAAAATAAATTTTATTAATTTATAACGGTTGGATTTTTTCTTAAGAGTTTGTGCCAAAAGAATCACAAATCTCAACTCAAGTCAAGTTATATTGTGTAGGGTAGGTATTTTCTAAGTATAGGTAGGATATAAGTTATATTTAGTACTTAACTTGTAAATTTTTTAGTATAACTTTTTAAATTTGGTACTATCTAAGTACTAGAAGACTTATTCTCGTTATTCAACTCATTAGATATCAAGTAACTTGTAAGTATATATTTAGGAAAAGAAAATATATAATATGAGATATTATTATTATGT